AAAATTGGCATAATTAGAAATAATTAGAAAGTATGAATAATTTTGCACCTTTTAAAGAAAATGAGTGTGGAATTCTCTCCACAAAGAAATCTTCAGGTTCAACTGTCATTAAAAGTGAATTATTCTAAGAATGTAAAAAACAAACAACAGTAACATCATAAAACTTAGTGAAGAAAAAAGAGGAAATACTTCTTAACATTATATGAGAACAGTGTGATCCTAACAACATCACCAAAATAGAAGATAAAAAATAAATCACACAGAAGAAAAATTACAGGCTAATCTTCATAAGTAAACAGATAAAACATATACAAATTTTAAAAAGTCAGGCAAGTGAGATACAAAAATCCAAACACTTCACAATCAAGTTGGGTTTATTGCAGGAATGCAAGGTTGGTTTAAAATTATAAAATGAACCAATGTGAGTTTAATTTAATGAAAATTTAATATAATGAAAGAGAAACATGTTTATCACATGATGAAGAAAAAGCATGTGATAAAATTCACTAGCTATAACTTAATTCTATTTATATTTGTAACTAAATTTAATTATAATTTTTAAAATTCTTGGAATTCAGGAGTTGGTCAGTGGGTACAGTACTTGCTGTACAGCATGAAGACCTAAGTTTGAGTCCCCAGCACCCATGTCAAAAGCTGGATATGGCAGTGCAGACCTGTTATCTCAGCACTACCAGCTAGAAGGTAAAAAGATCCTGGGGGCTTACTGGTCAACCAGTCTAGCTGAATGGGTGAGCTACAGGCTCAGTGACAGGCTGTATCAAAATTAATGATAGTAATAATAATAATTAACAAATATTGTGGTGAGCAGTGAACAATAGAGAAATGCACCCAACATCAACCAATTTCAACCGACATGTGTGCATGCCCCCCCCCACACACACACACTCACACTTTCTTAACAAACTTGGAATAGGAAGCAATTTCTTTGGTCTGATCAACAGGAGTTATGAAAACCCTATTGAAACATAGGCACTTGCTGGTAAAATGTAATAGTATTTCTTTTAAATTCTTTAATGAGTAACCGATAACTAATATTTCTATATAATCTTTTCTGAAGGCAGAGGATATGCAATAAGATGGAAATAGTTCTCTTTGTGTGAAAAGAGTGGAGTAATGTACCTAAGATGCCATGATACATTCACCAAAATGGTTAATTAAACTGGTATATTCAAGGATGCAGAACAATAATAACTCCACTGTCATGCCCTAGAGTACTCATGCTGTGCCAGTAAATTAGTACACCTAACTGTAACTCTCATGTACTGTTGTGGGGAATACACACAGATAAAACTTTGGAAAGCTGATAATATCTACAAGCACCAAATACATGCTATGACCCAAATATTTTATTTCTAAGTAAATATACAACAGAAATGCATGGACTTAAAAACAACAGTATATGCCTGTAATCTAAGCAGCAGGAAGGCTGAGACAGGAAGATGAGTTCAAGGCTAGCCTGGGCTACATAATAAGAACCTATCTTAAAACAAAACAAACAAACAAATAACCCAAATCCCTAAATACTCAAAATCAATATTATAAAAAAATTGTATGCTAATTAAATTGAATACTAGCAATAATATGGATAATTTTCTCAAAGATAATATTTGAAAAACAGTAGACACAAACAGCATAGAGTTTATATATCACTTATTTGGGATGAAAAAGCTGTTTCTTTGCATATTACTTTTCCCAGCCTGAAAAGATTTCATATCACATCTCATAGAAATGATAATTCAAGCAGGAAATCAAAAACTTAGTTTTGTTATCAAGATTCCATTTATCTACCATAGGAGATTTCTATATGAGTGAGCTGGAGCATGAATAAAATGTTTATAATATAATGCTAATTGGTCTAATGAACAGCAATCTTTTTTTTATAAGTTGCAGTCCAAGACTGAAGCGGATTTTAGCCATGCTTTTCTGTGTCCAGTGAAATGATATACTGTGCTGGTTGATAATTGTCAACTTGATACAAACCTAGACATATCTGGGAAGAGAGAATACTAACTGAGAAAATGCTTCCATAAGACTGGCCTGTAGAAAAGTCTGTGGGGGTATTATCTTAATTAATGATGAATATGAGAGGTCAGAGCTCACTGTGGGCAACAGTGCCACATCAAGCATGTTTTTCTGGTTGGTATAAGAAAGCAGGTTGAGCCGAGCGGTGGTGGCGCACGCCTTTAATCCCAGCACTCGGGAGGCAGAGCCAGGCGGATCTCTGTGAGTTCGAGGCCGGCCTGGGCTACCAAGTGAGTTCCAGGAAAGGCACAAAGCTACACAGAGAAACCCTGTCTCGAAAAACCAAAAAAAAAAAAAAAAAAAAAAAAAAAAAAAAAAAAAAAAAAAAAAAAAAAGAAAGCAGGTTGAGTAAGCTCCAGGGAGCAAGCCAGCAAGCAGCATTCCTCCATGGCTTTTGCTTCAGTTCCTGCCTCCAGGTTCCTGCCTTGAGTTTCTCTCCTGACTTCCCTCAGTGATGGGTTATGACCCGAAATTTGTAAGATAAGCTTAAACCCTTTCCTCCCCAAGTTGCTTTTAGTCATGTAGTTTTATTACATCAGTAGAGACCCTAACTAGGACACAAGTCAAGAAAATATCATTGCACACAGTTATCTAAAATACATATGCTCATAATAATTTTCTATCAGGTATGCAATTGTTCACACTGCTCTCAATTTCATAACTGAATGGCTACACTTGGTCATCTTCAGATGTGTGAACAGTATGTCAAATACCACATTAGATGCTTTTCTATCCACTCTTTTACATGGTCTTCACAACAGCCACATAATGGAAGTTTTATCCCCTTTAACAGATTAAAAAAAAATCAAGGAGATTCCCCAGGGGAATCATCAAGCCATGATTAAAATCTCTTTCTCGCTGATGATCAGTCCCACCATCTGAAACACCAGTCGAAGGGTTACGCTGGAATGAATACATTTAGAATGTAAAAAAGTACTAATCCAGGGACATGAAACTGTAAGTGTAAGATTTAAATACATTCATCCTTGAGAGTTGCTGTTTCCCTTCCTTAGCCCATGCCTTTTGAGTCTCATTGCTCTAGAAAAACAAACACAACACAACACAATGCAAAACAAAAACAGAGAGATCAAGAACCAAAGAACACTGATACCTGTGTTTATGTCACCAAAGGATTCAGATCCAAGCGTAACTTTAGCAGTGAATGCTTCAGAGCCTGTCTAGTCTGGTTCCTTCTCTTGCAGTCAGAGTAAAAGAGGGGAGGGCTGGATTCAGATTTGCTGGCAAGTTTTGGGTACAACACAGGTTAAAGGGACCACAAAATGTACACTTAGCTGTAAGTCAGAAGCCACCTGACCATGCTCCCCCTCATCGTTCCCTTATTCTGTGTTTGAAAGCTGTTGGTTCTCAGGTTGTAACAGGGATGTACATCTCAGATAGGAGCCTCAGCATCCAGGAGGCAGCTGCCTGTTCTTGCACAGAGGGGAGACCTATTATCATGACTGCCTCTGCACTGGCCTGGTGAAATGTGTTCTTTTGGAGATAATAGCTACAATTGAGAAATAAATCTGTACTTCCACAAGTTGAGGAAGAATTTGAGCTACTGCTCCCTGATGCCGCACGGGAGCTAATAAAAACCTTGAACCCATTATTCATACATCAGAACAAAGAGGGCTTTATTGAAGATCAAATAAAAAGTATAACTACTGAGTCAGGCAGCACTTGAAGTGAGGATTCCAGAATCCTTTATGGCCCATATTGCTTTTAATGATATTGGAGATTAAAGCTCAGAAAGAATCAGCTTATACAAAAATGATGGGCCTGATTTCTCTGTATTTGCTGTTCTGGGTATCCACGGTTACCTGCTCTATCATCAGTGTCCTTCTCATGTCTGTTTATTTGTAACCATCAAAATGTGGACTTTAAAAAACAACTCCTCAGCTGTGGCATTCAGGATGCATGCCCACTCTCCCTAGGAAGTAAAGAAATCTGCCTTGCCCACAGTGTGTTCACTGCAAGGAGAGAAAAATAAACTGGTATTTGTAAAGTGATTTGTGTTGCAAGATTGATAATTGAATATTCCACTTCTCAGGTCTTAAAAAAAGGGAAAAGCAATTTCTACAATTTCTATAATTGTCCCATTCTCCTAGTTTTTCTATGTGTAGGACCAAAGGAAAGTTTAAACTAATATTTCGGCCGGGCGGTGGTGGCGCATGCCTTTAATCCCAGCACTCGGGAGGCAGAGCCAGGCGGATCTCTGTGAGTTCAAGGCCAGCCTGGGCTACCAAGTAAGTTCCAGGAAAGGCACAAAACTACACAGAGAAACCCTGTCTCAAAAAAAAAAAACCCAAAAACTAATATTTCATGGTACCTCAGACTCCTAGACATTGAAGTCTTTCAAAGGTGACTTAATGTCGTGTCTGCTGTCTTCCTGGTAGTTTTTTTTCCTTGTTTGCTTTCTTCTGATTTCCTCTAGGATGGCATTTAGAATACTGTGGACGGTGTCTCAAGTCTCACAGGGACTGGGAGAATAAATCTAAGATTCGTGTATGAAAGTTCTGCATTGACTTTTGGATCCTCTGTGACAAGATGCTTTTGGGGGCTCAATCCTGGACTCCTCTTTCACAGTTTTATTGATAAAGGTGTGTTTCTATTCTCTCTTAACATTCATGCTTGTTGGTGAACCTTATCCAGACTGCTCAGTCTCTGCCAGCTGAGTTCTGCTTCCCCATACCCAGAGCTTTGTAGGTCTCCCATCTCTTCCCACAAACATGCCATGCTGGTCTAATAGCTCAGCCCAGCTGCTTTCTGGAGGAGATGAGGAAGCCATTCAAGGGATAACCCAGGACTCATAAACAAGTCAGCTCCTTCCGCCACCTTATTTTGATTCAGGATAGAGTTCCATGAGGCCACCGCTTTCTAAAGATCTGAATGGAAAGTGGGTTTTTGAAAAGACCTTGGAATTGGCAGGACACTCTGTAAGGAGGATGTCTGAGGCATCGAGGCTAAGCATTCACTCCTCCTCTCTTTCTTTTTCTTCAACCAAGTTGACTGACAGGGTAGTCTCATCCTCATCTATGCAGACATGACTTACATTTTGCGAAGTTTCTCTACAATTGGATATCTGATATTGAAATTAGTAAGTCCTAATTCTTAATTATTTATAGGGCTTTAAAAATTAGAAATGAGTTTTGTCTTTCCCAATACTTGCCTTCTAGAATGCTATCATAAAAACTATTCTAAGTCCATCCCATGTTTAGTCAGTTGTTATCAGCCGCTTTCTTTTCTGTGTTTACTTTCCACCTTCATGCAGATGTTTATTTCTGAATAACTAGAGTTACATGTACATAAGTTTTTAAAAAGTGTGTATTTTAGGATTTACTATATTTGATCTATTTATCATATCTTATATTTAAAATTGCATATGCAGATTTATATTTTATTTGCTATTGTTTTTGCATTTTATGTGTGTGTATGTGCATGTTGTACATATTCAGGTGCACGTGTGTGCATGGAGTCCAGAGGACAACCTTAGCTGTCTCCCTTAGGAATGTCATTCACTTCCTTTGAGACAGGGTCTATTATTAGCTCAGTGCTCACCAACTTAGCTAAACTGACTGATCAGCTAGTCTCAGGAATTCTCTGGTTTCTGGACTCTGCCAACCAGAATGCTGTTATATCTTCATGTGAGTTCTGGTGATCAATCTCAGGTTCTCATGCTTGTAGGACAAGCACTTCACAGACTGACACATTCTCCCTACTTCTATTATAATTTAAAAATACATCATCTTATTGTAAGTTTATAAGTCACAATGGAAACAGCAAAAAAAAGGAGCATAGACAACCAGAAGTAGAGTTAACTGAATTGCTGCAATTGTTTTCTCTTTGATAATCTGGAAGATACACAAATACACAAAGTTCCTTCCTGTTAGGACTTCTTAGAGCTTTCAATGACAGAACACAGATTTCTCATACAAATGTCTGAGATGCGGACTCTATTTTAAGAAGTCGTGAAAATTTAAGCCAGGCATAGTGACACAGCTACTCAGTGGCTGAGGGAGGAGATCACGAATTCAAAGATTGTCTAGATTACAGAGTGAATTGTAGGCCAGCCTGGACAAATTAATAAGACTCTGTCTCAAAATAAAAAGTTAGAGGAAGCTAGGTATATAGCTTAGTGATTGAATGTTTACCTAACATTCGTGAGGCCCCGAGTTCAATCTCTAGCAACACACACACACACACACACACACACACACACACACACACACACTGAAGAAAAATGAGATGGCATATGACAGCAAAATCTGTCAACTGATGAAGAGCCTTTAGGCATTGCAGAAAAACAAACAAAACAAAAACCAAAAAATCAATTGCTCTATCATCCTAAAATCAATAGAAATCAAATATTGTTGCGATCATTGAATATTTTGGAACGTATTTGGGAGAACAACAATAACAAATAAATAGCCTAGGAACAAAGGGCCTGACATGCAGGTAATGAACCTTAGTGACTGCATACATCTTACCATGCCGATAAGAACATTCTGCACTTTCTCATAGGAGCATCAAGTCAACTCAACTTATATATAGGCTTCTGAAAGAAGAGTGACTCACAAAATTGAACGGGAAAATATTGTTGCATTAATAAAGGTTACAACCCTAAATTCTCTTTAATGCTAATGGTAATGTCCGGGTATAGAAAAGAAAATCAGTATTGCCAAATCTTATAGGTGATTAACCTCAAATTTGTAATACATGAATTTAATTTAATTAAAAAGTTAAACATTTTACTGTCTTCCTCCCAAAGAAACTAACACAAAGGTCTTTTTTTTTTCATTTAGTTTTAGTTGCACACAGACAACATGCACTATAGTGTTATTTGGTTTGAGTTTGGCTGCCTCTGTTTAATAAGGCAAGGCTGGACTATCTTATTAGTGAATGGGTAGCATTGTGCTATGGAAAAATAGATAATTCACACACTATCGAAAGTATTCTATTTGCTTCTGTGATTGGTTAATTACAGGATTCAGGTCTCCTAAATGTCCACCATATGCTCTATTTCTACATCCCTTTTTGTTGTGTTTTGAATGGCTTTCTTAGATCTATTTCTAACTTAATAATTATCTCTTTAGCAGGACCTGATCTTTTGTTTAATCCACCTAGTCAATTATTTTATTTCAATGGCCATCTATATTGATTTTTTTAATACTCTTCCTACTTTTACTTAATGATTTTCAATGCACACTTTATTTTTATATTTTGAATGTATTTACTTAATATCTTTAAGACTAACATTATCATTACTTAAGGTAAAAGTTTTACTATTTGCGGATTCAGTCACTTTCTCTTAAGATAGTTTAATTGTGACATTTGTGATTTTTAATGATTAACTGTAAAAATAATCATGAAAATTAAAAAAATAAAGGCTAAAAATTTAAAGAAAATTATGCAGAAAATAGAGCATGGATTTAAATAATTTTAAGAACTTTGTGTCAGTTTCTTTGGGAGGAAGATAGTAGAGTGTTTAATTTTTAACTTTTTAATTAAGTTAAATTAATGTATTGTAAGTTTGAGGTGAACCATTAAAAAGTATAAATTGAATACACAACCTAAAAACTACTAAAAGAAAATAAACATTAATAAAAATCAACAAAATTGATAGAGATGTGGGAATACAATCATAGAGAGATGCACAATAAATATAAAACATGAAACCAAATACGTCAATACTCACAGTACTTGATACACACAGATTAAGATCATCATTAAAAGTCAAAACTGGTTAGAAAATATTTGAAAGAAAAATGCAGTATTGTAAAACCAACAAATAATACATTTAAAGCAAAACAATACCAACAGACTGAAAAATAAGAGAGCAGATATTAATAATGGAAAGGATTAAAACTGGTTAGTCAGCTCCTGGATATAACTCAGTTGGTAGGATCCTTGCCTGGTATGTACAAAGTTCTGGGTTCAGTCTCCAGCAGCATGTATACTAAGCCTGTTGGAACATACCTATAGCCCCAGGACTATGGAGTAGAGGAAGGAGGATAAGGTTTCAAAGTCATTTCATTTATGAAGTGGGTTCAAGGCCAGCCTGTTCCACATGAGGCTGTCTGAAAAGACAAACAAACAAGCAAACCAACTTTAGTCATATGATAGAATGCAACATGGCAGCTAAGAGGCTAGGAATAAATGGTCTCTCCCTAAGTTATCTATATAACTACATCAATCAACATATCTTTTGAAAATAATCCTAAATATAAAAGATATAGATGAATTTATCAGCATGGTAGTATCTTCAGGGTGCTTAGAATAAATGTAAAGCATTACTAAGTGTTGTTTGTGGGTATAGGCTTCAGATATTTTAAACTACAAAGAATTGACAGGTTCATAGATAGTTCATTGTAATGACTGACTTGTTTTATTCTGCCAAAAAGAATGAAAGAGTGAAAAACACAATAACAAATACAGTAGTTAATAATTAATAAGTATAGGTCCATTTAAATAACACATCCTGTGTACCAAACATATATATGATAGATGACAGATAGATAGCTGGATAGGTAATAGCTAGTAAGATTGATAGATAATGACAGATAAGTAGGTTATAAATAGATAGATGATAGTTAGACCAATAAATGTTTTCCTCCCTAGAAATGCAACATAAACTATATTTACAACAAATTCATATTCTTATTGCTTTTACTGTTAAGCAAGGAAGAACAGCAATCAACTTCTTCTAAATAGCTAGAAATCTTTAAAGTAAAAGGAGCTAAAATACAAAAGAATTAGAGATCTACAAAACAGAATTTGAGAATTTATAAGAAGGAATAAGTAAACCCAATTTAGTTTCATTAAAGAACAATATATAAAACACTAATCTGCTATTTTTTGTTTTAAAGATTTATTTATTTTAGTTTCTGTGTATGAATATTTTGCCTGGATATATGTCTGTGTACGGCATGGTGCCTGGTATCAGTGGAGGTCAGAAGAGGGCATCTGATCTGCTGGAGCTGGAGTAGAGAATGGTTGTGAGCATACTGTGGGTGCTAGAAACTGAAACTCTGTCTTTTGCAAGAGCAGCAAGTGCTCTTAACCAGGGATTCTTCTTTGCAGCCCTAACCTGCATTATTTAATACTATTAGTAACTGTAACTATAAAAAGGAACAATTACAAGAAAGACTAAGTTCATGGACACCTTTAACCTAAGGCAAAGATCTTGATGCATTTCAACCGCCTGACCCACTGAAATGCTTAAATTGTAAGTGGTCTTTCCTTTCTATTTCATTAAATCTAAGAAAAAGCACTGATGGTCTCTGCCCACTACCTCTGAACTAGAGACATTATTGGCTCTTATACTACTTGATCTTGGGAAATTGACCTATCGTGGTAGAAGTGCAGGGAGCAGTGTGCCTTCATTCCCTACACTCGCGATGTTACTCCCTCACCTCCCTACTCTACAGTTACCAGAGGACAGTCTCTAGCATGCAGGGAAGCAGAGGACAGCTTGCTGCAGGTGCAGAGAAGTGTCTGTTTAATCATCTCCTCCACGCTGAGAGTCTGGCCACTGCTGTTTGTCACTGCTCAGCTAGTAGGGAATGTCTTGAGAGCACCGCAGATTTCTGTTCCACAGTCACTCTTCTAAGGAGCAGAAAGCAAGTGCTATAACAACAGCTGTGTAGATGTTTGTTTTCTTTGGGGCTGAAAGAAGAGAAAAAAACAAAAAAGTCTAAATCACAGTTTTTTTCCTTGTTTATATAAGGGGTTACAAAGGTGGGTGCACACGTTTTCTTTCAAAATAAAGCTCTGCATTTCCATATCAGTAGTTCATATTTAATCACTTATATTTCATTTTTAAAAGTATATTGGCTTATTACTCTGCTTACCACTTCTGATCTGGAAGCACTGGGAGTTCAAACTCAGGTCCTCATGGCCACAGAACAAGCCCTCTGTCCAACTGAAATTATCCTTCAAGTTGATGGAATTCATAGCTAGCAGATCTTCTGCAAGAAATGTCAAGAGAAATTCATCAAAAAGAAGGAAAATAATATGCCTGAAATTTGAGTCCTATGCAATGTAAGAAAGGACTAGAGAAAGAATAGATGAAGGTAGAAACATGTCACTGACTATAGG